GCTCCTCACTACAAGGACATTGAGGTGCTTGAGCATATCCAGAGAAGGGCAACAAACCTGGTGAAGGGTCTGGAGAACAAGTCTTATGAGGAGCAGCTGAGGGAACTGGGACTGTTTAGCTGGAGAAGAGGAGGCTGAGGGGAGACCTTATCGCGTTCTACAATTACCTGAAAGGAGGTTGTAGTGAGGTGGGTGTTGGTCTCTTCTGCCAAGTAACTAGCAATAGGATGAGAAGAAATGGCCTCAAGTTGCGCCAACAGAGGTTTAGATTGGACATTAGGAAAAATTTCTTTACTGGTTAAACATTGGAACAGGCTGCCCAGGGAAGTCACCATCCCTGGAGGTATTTAAAAGACATGAAGACATGGCACTTAGGGACATGGTTTAGTGGGCATGGTGGTGTTCAGTTGATGGTTGGACTGGATGATCTTAGAGGTCTTTTCCAACCTTAATGATTCTATGATTCTAAACCTGCTAGCTGCTCCAGGACCTTTGTTCATGCGTTGCCCCTTAGGGCAGTACAATTGTTCCCTGTTTGTAAAGAAGGGCCTACAGCCAAGTGCAGGGGCTGTTTGGGTGAGTTTGGATTACCCTGACCCCTACTGTGTTGAAACCATTGCTGGGTGCAAGGAATCCTACCTGCCTCTCCTCTCGGGCAAGGGCTTGGAGAGGAAAAAGGCCTACTCAGTCAGCTCTGCTTCTTCCCCGCCCCCCCCCATCACTACTTCACCTACCAACAATTCAGATTTACTGTAGCATTCCTGAAATGGAACCGCTGTAATAGGGACATGAACTGTTTTAAATGAAACACGCTGCAGAAGTTTAGAGGAGGCCCTTTTGAAGACAGCCTTCTACCATGGAAGCTCATAAATAAGCCTGGAGAAAAGCAGCAGCACAACGCTCACAGAGAAGCCACTGGTGCAAAAATGCATCAGAGCCTCAGGTGTTACATGTATTCTAAAACACCTCTTGGTAACACAGTAAGGAGATCCCAGCCATCAGCAGGGTTTTTTCAAAAGCCTTCAGATTACAAACTGTTTGTTTGTAATCAAGCAACACCTTCCTGTTGGGTTGATGTACTTGCAAGTCCCACCCGACTAACAAGAGAAGATACACAAAAACAAGCAACAAATCACTTCCAAATACTTTAATATGGTCCATAACACCAAGTAGGATGGAGCTTAGAACTGGATCACCTGGCCCTGTAAGAAGAAGAGACAGAGCGAGTTTATTCACCACTGAATGTCACCACCCTTTCTCAGCCACTCTCGGTACACAAGCATACCTTTCTCTTCTTGTCTCCTCCCAGTTCAAAGTGCTTGCACCTCTTAATGGCCAGCATCCTCTTGGACCTGCAGTTGGGCTCTACACACTCCAGCCTCAGCACAATCTTCTTCGTGGTCTTAGCCTGGGAGGACCAGAGCGTATCAATAAACAAAATGTCCACAAGCAGACAAATTGCTGTTCTCAGGAAAAGCTTGTTATCTGCACTCCTGAAGATTCAGCAGCTTGTTCTCAAAGTGTAAAGAAAAAGACTACCAACATGGTTAGGCTCCCTCCATTAAAAACCAGTACAGGAATATAGTGGATCTGTACCTTCACAATAAAGCACACTGGCAAAAGCACTCAGTGGGGCAGGGCTAGTCCCCTGCAGAGATCAGCCACGCTGGAAGAAAGTCTGTGCCAATCAGTGAACACACCAAGGAACAGGCACTTTTGCAGTGTGGGAGAACAGACTGACACTGCTCAGGACAAGTTCAGCAGAAAGTCAGGCAGAAGAAACACCTGAAAGCAGCACCACTGACAAACTCTCCCCGGAAGAAGCAGTGACACAATGCCCTCAGCACAGACCTGCAGCTACTGAGAAGTTAGATGAAACCCAAAAGACTAGAAGGAAGAATCCAAAGCTATGAGGCTACTGTAGCAGCTGGACAGAGCTGTAACCACCAGTTATAAACTTTGGCCAATCATCCATATAATGCTGACTGGAAAGAATCAGAAATGGGAATGACAATGTGCAGGTGGAGAGTGCCAAACTGCGAAAGCAGTATGGCTGCTGTGTGTACCCTGCTTGCGGAAGCATTTTCTGCAAGGCCTCCTGTCGTGGCTTAACCCCAGCCAGCACATAAACCCCACACAGCTGCTTGCTCACCGCCGCTCCAGGGGGATGGGGGAGAGAATCGGGAAGGCA